GCTTGATGCCCAGCCTGAGACACTGTAAAAGTCACAATACCCACGGTCCCCTGACAGGAACACCCTTGTGCAGTCACCTCAGGCAAATCACCTTCTTGCAGTTTTTTTTAAACAGAGGGTAACATCATGCAATGCCAGAGGCTCTGAGGAATAAGCCCTATGTGTAGACTTTTGTATATGTTATAATTTCCAAGTGTGAGTTCAAAACTAAATCACATCAGAGTGGCTTTCTAGGCTGCAAAGACAGTATGTCCCAAGAGGGTGGCATCTTCTTAAGGCATTCAGTTTCAGTTTTATGACCAGCAAAGAGACTAAGAAAAGGGGCATTTTGCTCCATCCCTTGCTGATTCAAGGCAACTGCCACATGGCCATATAAAGCACAGGTCAGAGCTTGCCACTCCTCTCTCCAAAAACAGACATTTCACATAAGGATTTGTGGCCAAATTTTTCAATAGCTTTATTCATAACAGCCAACCCTGAAAATAACCTAAATGAGCATCAACTAGCAAACGGATAACAAATTATGGTATATCCCTGAGGTGGCATACTAGTCAATAAAAAGGATAACTGATATACACAACAAGGATGAATGTCAGAACTTCATGATGAGGTAACAAAGCCACACAGATATATTATGTGATATCACTTATATGAAACTTTAGGGAAGACAAATTTACAGTGATAGAAAGCAGATCAATCCTTGGGAGTGGGTACTGACTTCTAAGCGGACAAATACCTTTTGGAGTAATGGAATGTTCTAGATCTCCACTGTTGCTGTGGTTACATGGATGTACATTTGAATTAGAGTGCCTGCATTCTATTGACAGTATACTGCAAAAAAGTTAATTCTTTAAAAACAAAGCAAATGGTCATTTTCTGTTTCACTGGGCTCAGTCTGTTTCATGTTGCACTTACAACTAGTGTCTTTGATTGCCTCTGGGAGGAAACTGGGTAGCCAGAGACAGGCGTGGGAAAGACATTTTCAAACTGTTTACCCTTTTGTCCTTTTAAACTTTTGAACTGTGAGGCGGTATTAGCTACTTTTTTAAATAAATACAATTTAAAATTAAGAAAAAGAATTCTAAAAACACATCCCTCATTGGTAAAATGAAGGAGACACAGCCTAAGACTATTGGACTGTTGCCTAATCCATTTAAACTTTTGAACTGTGAGGTGGTATTAGCTACTTTTTTTAATAAATACAATTTAAAATTAAGAAAAAGAATTCTAAAACCACATCCCTCATTGGTAAAATGAAGGAGACACAGCCTAAGACTATTGGACTGTTGCCTAATCTATTTCAGGTTTTGGAAACCCTGATTCTTGAGACAGGCACTCTATGAGGTCTGTATTTTTTCAAACTTCTCTGAGCTCTGAATGAATACCATTGCTTTTTTAGCCTTACTTAGTATTTTAATATTTTTCATAAAATGTGTCATAGATAAGAATACACAATTTTAAAATAATTATAACTTAAGTCCCATGCAATCACCACCCAAGTAGAAAACTAGAACATCGCCTGTACCCTAGAACCTTCCATGGTGGTCATGCCTTCTCATGACTCCCAAGGATAGCCATTCTCTTGATTTTAGGAATAAGAATGTCTTTCTTATCTCCTATGTGTACATCCCTAATCTATACTGTTTACTTTTACACATTTTACAACTTTTTAAAAAACTGCATCATTGTGCACATATTGATAGTGCTTTTTTTGTCCAAAGTTACATTTGCAAAATTCATCCATGTTGTTGCCTATAGCTGTAGTTTATTTTCATTGTGATATAATAATTTATGGTACCACAATTTACTTATCCATTAAATACTCAAGACACCTTTACAAGGCATTCCTTTGTTCTCATTGCCTGGGGAAAAAACAAGTCCAAACACACAGTATGACATTCAAGGCAACCAGTGGCCCCAAATGTGTGTCCAAAGCACCTAGTCAGTCTCATCTCCCCTATTTTTCTCTACCAACCTAGTGCCATGCAACAATTTAGTACATTGTTGGTTGAAATACAAAGTATAATTCCTTAGCACTAGGATGCTGTTGACCAGGTACCAGATCTACCCAAATCATTCCTGTCCATCAAGTTCTGGTTCAAACAAGTGTGATCACTCAAGAAGACCCCACAATCACTTCCATCCACAACGCCACCACCCCGCTTCGAAAAAAGGCATCACGTGAATTATCCTTTTTTTGACTCTTCTGTGCAGTTGCTTCATGCAGCCTTGAGTTATATGCATCCATTTGGCCATCCTCAAGTTTTGTCTTTTCAGTGCACAGCACTAATATCTTGGAGACAATGGGAAGGTAATAAATGTTAGAGTTTTGAACTCCAACTCAAAATTCTGAAAGCTATTGCTGGTACCAGGTACCAAATCATTAAAAAAATTTTAAAGTTAATTTCCACAGAAATTAAATCGTACCAATTAAAGTGAAAAATGTCATCACTACGGCTTAGGAGATTTTTGTTCTCCAATATTTCTAAAATTGATCTTTTTGTCTTTCCCATAAAAAATACAGAGTTTTAGAGTTCCCGGGACATAGATGTTAAGGTGTCACATAATTTAAGATCACTTGATAAGAAGTACACTATTTAAGGAAATATCTTTGAAAAGCATTTTAACCCCAGTAGCAACAAAGGGAGGAAAAAGCTCCAAAAATTTTAATAAAATTAATACATGGGTCATAAATTCTAATTAACAAGTATTTCAGAATTTAAAAAGCAGGATTATCTTTCTACCAAAGAAAATACATGCATGGAATATAGGTACTGCAAATTGGAGAAGAAATAAAACAGATTAGCAGAAAGCTATAGCTGGACTGAATACCTGGCTATTGTTTACCTCTCTATCAAATTCATAGAAGAAAAAAAATGGATGGAACATATCACTCCTGAGTAATACCAAATATGCCTTTCAAATATCTTATGCAAAAAAATCATTCTTTTCAGTAGATATTAAGAACATATCATAGAAAAAATGTTTGTAACTCATATTACAGAAATTAAGTTAAAGGTCTTAATATACAAGGACCTCCTACAAACCAATAGGAAAAAAAAAAACCAATGGTTCAACTGAAAATATGGACAAAAGTATTTATAAACAGATAATGTAAATAAATGATAATCACAATGGTTCTTGAACATAAAATGCTCAATCCCAGATTTGCAAGATCAAAGTCTGATAAAACACTGTGAATAGGGTACAGAGCAGCAGGCAGCCACACACATTGCTAGTTACAGAATAAACTGGTAGAACTCCCCGGAAGTGCAATAATATAGTGATATACAAAATGATATGTGCTCATCCCCTCTGACCCAACATTTCCACTTATGGGAATTAATCCACAAAAATACTTTCATATATGCAAAATAATGGTACAGGGCCATTAGCTATAACACTGAAATAGTGAGTTTGGAAACAACTGTAGTCCATCAGTGGGAGACAGGTTAAATAATTTGTGACATCCTTGCCGTGGAATTCGATGCAGCTGAAAAAGACAAGGAAGTGATTGCCAAGTTACACTAAGAAGAGGCATAGCTCAAATAGTATTTCACAATTTGTGTAGAATAGTGTTTTTGCTGAGATACACAGTATGTGGAAAGGTACCCAGGAAACTAGTAACACTAGTTGCTTAGGGGAGGAAACTGGGTAGCCAAAGTTAGGCGTGGGAAAGAGATTTTCAAAATGTTTATCCTTTTGTACCTTTAAACTTCTGAACTGTGAGGCTATTACCAATTTTTTTTAAGAAATAAAATTTTAAATTAAGAATTTTAAAAACATGTCCCTCATTGGTAAAATGAATGAAACACGACCCTAAAACTCTTGGACTGTTACCCAATCTAGCATAATACAATATATTCTCCTTATTCTGGTGCTCACATAACTTCATGAGAGGAAAGAGAAATTTGGAATAAATTCTAGAAGCAGATGGCTAAGAGACCTGATGTAAAGCTAATGCACATTCACGGGCCCTGATAAGATACAGCTTGTTTTAAGAGAAAACCAGAACTACCACAGATCTGCAAAAAATGTTCAAGTTACTTGAGTTAATCTAGAAAATGGCAAGCTGTGCATGTTCTGTGCCTTTCTTTCTTTCCTAACTTTCAGGTTAAGAAATCTCTCTGTAACAAGGTATGTCTAGCAGCTGGCTTGTTTTGCACTGTTCGGGTTATGCTTGTTAAGAGAACACAGTTGCAAACATAAAAGGCTTTTCTCCACCCCCCATTAGACTGGTAACAGATGACAGGGCTCGTCCTTCAGTGAAGGAGCCAGACACTTCCCTGTTCTTACAGGTGAAGGACACTTTAAGGAGAGACAAACCTGTTGATCATTGTTTTTCAGAGAACACTCCTGTGTATTCCTTCTGCACTTCACTTAAGAGTATGTTTGTTGTGCACACCCGGGGAGGGGCGGGGTGATGTACATAATACACCTGTTTGCCTCCTGTTTTCTCATCAGGGAGTAAAGACAGTAAACCCAACCCTCCAGGGGACAGAAAAACAAATCACTCGGTGCCCATTTTAGGCGGCTGATGAAGGTGGCCCAGTCTTGAGCGTGTACCTAAGCTGGTCCAGATATGCCCGCTGGGGGTGCAAGAACAAATCCAAGTTCAAGCACATTTGCTCCAGCATGGCTTGGGCGAGCAGGTCAAGACCTGCGAGTTTAGAAGCAAAGGCCCAAGGTTCCAAGCACAATGGACACATCTGTAGGTCCAGGTGCATGTAAGTCAACCGACCCCCTTACCCGGACGGCTAGATACACACACGCAGGCCGACCACTGTTTCCAGGCAAGTACGTCTGGAGGAAAGTTAAGAGTGTGTATCTATCTACCTGTTCGAGAAAGGTGGCTGACAAAGTGGCCCAGGGGGGACACTTCTTCCTCCGCAGTGCCCGGCGTGCACCCCACAGCGGGCCCCGAGCTCGCCCTCCGCGGGTCCCGGGCGCCCCAAGGTCACCTGCCCTCCTGGGCGTCCCCACCCACGCCGCGCGCTTACCAGAACAGCAGGTTGGCCCCGACGAAGCCGAGCAGGCTGCGCAGCGGCCTCTTCCAGCTCAGGAGCTCGCCGGCGCGGCCGCCCAGCCACAGCGCGGGCTCCCGCAGCAGCCAGGTCCCGGGGGCGGCCACCCCGCCCGCGGCCTCCGCCACCTGACGCCCCGCGCCGGCCGCCACCGCCCCTCCGCCCTGCGCTTCCTCCTGCTGCCCTTCGCGGGGAGCCCGCGGCGGCGCCTGCTCCTCGGTCGCCGGAGCCGGGCATCCCTCCTCCGCGGGCTCCGGGGGCGCCGGGCTCGCCATCTTCCGCGGCTTCCAGGCAGGGCCGGGCACGCGAGCGGGCGCGCCCGGGTGGCGGCGCCGGGAGGGCGGCGGGTCCCGAGCGGGGCGCGCACCGCAGGGCGCCGGCGGCCGGGGGCCTTGTGACGTCACGCCAGCCGCGGCGGGCGCCTCCCGCGGGAAGTGGGTGCGGCCAAGTGCGCGGGGCGGGCGCGGCGGCGGCCGGGAGCGCGGCCCCGGGTGGCCTCGCGGGGACCGGGCGCGCGTGACCCCCTTTTCCTGTCCAGCCGCAGGGCCGGGCGAAGTGGAGGCCCGCCGCCCGGCTGCTCATCTAGGAGAGTAGGGGCGTCGGGTCAGATCCGCTCGACGCCTT